GTAAAAATTGTGCAACATTTATAATTTCTTCCAAATGGGATGCCATGTGTTCAAATTAACACACAAGACAATAACTTCACCCACAGGGTTTATTAACATACAGAAGCAATAACTTTATGCATTGTTTAATTTTAATGAAAAAAGCACTTGACCAAATGTAACCTAGAGACATCAGTGAATGGTATGAAATCTAACACCTGCTCCAATTACTAACCAGCACTCCAGATTATTGTAAAAAAAAAGCACCTTTAAAGCAGTTTCAAAAAAAGCTCAGGTAATTCAATTTTGCCATGCAAAATTCTTCTATTATAGCCATTTTTTGTAGGGACATGCTAAATCACTGCAGTTCATCTTGGTGTTGGGTTGATTCATTAATCACCTGCCAAAAAGAAAACCCATGCGAAAAAGTACAGCAAGAACCAAGTAGCAGAAATAGAGGTTGAGGCGCTGGCACACAAGATATAGGTTGAGCTGTAATGGTCCTCAATTTACATGTAACCAATGTTAATCCAAGAAAGGGAAACTGCCATTTCCGCCAATCACTAATGCCCGTGGAGGAAAAAAATATGTCCGGGACATGTTTAATCTGTTGGCCAGGATCGGTCACTTCTGTACCAAACTAGAGTCTTGGCCAGATTTTAAGGATACAACAGCAGTTATCCAGATACTGAATTATCTGACTATAATATTACAAAGAAGAAACCTAAATAAATGTTCATAAAAACCACTAAAAGTTAGTCTTGATACACAATATTGGAATTGTCCAGCCAGGAAATATATAGTGTATAAAAGTCAACATTAGGGAGTTGTGCATCTTTCACATCATTCTTGATTCATTTGAAGTCATACCTAGAATTACACACCATTGCATGTGGTCTCAGTTTAGAGAGGATTAAAAAACGTTTTTATAGGATTGAGCCACAACCAGAACATTGCTTACCCTTGGAGAAAAGAAAAACGCACAATATACATTTATGCACAATTAGTTTACGTTTACAGCTATATCATTAATGGATTCTTAAACAATTTGCTAATTTTATCACTTATACATACTGTACATGGCCATCTTTGGTTTCAATGGTCTTTATCATAACCTTCTTGGAAAAGGAATCAATCACGGGCCTGGATTCAAGGCTGGTTTCTAGGAAAGAAATTAGAGAAGTTATAGTTATAGTTGGAAGGATTTACTTGCCACCATTGAAAGGCTTGTGCTTAAAATGTGGCACAACGGCACTAAAAGCCTAAGATTTGTTAATCCAATGATGCAGCATTACAAGCACAAATCATCAGTATTTATATTTCTTCACAAAACATTACTATCAAATAGGAGTTGTACCTTTTTTAAAATCTTAAAGCAGTCTAAACTACTAATACTGCCATGTAGTGTTCATCATTATAAAAATCTCAAATTTAAGTTGGCTACTTCCACATTACATTAATATTGAAATTGTATTGAAGAAAATTGTTCATGCCTGAAACATTTTTATTTGCATTGGTGTAAGCATGCGAGGTGTAGTTAATGTACCTAGCGGGTTTCTCATTGTTAGGATTTAACCATTTTTCTAGTTGAATGTGCACAACTCATGGCTCCCTGCCAGATGCATTTCCTGCTAATGCTGGCAGTCTTGCTCTCAACAGGTAGGCTGTCTAAATAACAGCAAGTCAGCAACATCTACAACACTTATACAATTGCACTTGATAAGACTTTCTGGGACTGTAAAACCAGAACAGCTTCAGTCCTGAATCAGAGGGATTTAGCCTTATGAAAGATTAGTCTCTTTGGCCTTGAACTTGGTTCCAAGACATTTTAAAAAGTCCCTTAACATCCATGACTTGCTAGAAAGATCCATTTAACTATTCCAGTTGAGTGATCTAGAGGAACTTTCTTTAGAACAAATAGAAGCACTGGACACCAGCATGAAATTGGGAACTTGTCTATCTTGAGGTGCAGACAAGATTAAATTTGCCACATTTAATGACTAGTTTTATCTAATCATCCTGTCATTAACTCTAATCATGACAGGATTCAAACTTGAAGTAACCAGTTAACCTTCTCTCTGGCACAATGCCATAATGTGAACAAGACGTCACGCACTAGATAACATTTAACTTTTGACCTTATACCACAGGGCTACATTCCACACAGGACAACTGCAGTTCTCCAAAGTGTGCCCTTTTACCTAGCAGTTTAGATTCTCTGGAGTTAATGACTTGATCTGCACTTACATGTAACTCCTTAACTGATGAGTTGATCTGATAACACTAGTAGCTGGAATATACTGATGCGACAGTATAGTTTCCATGCAGACTACAAAGTCAGTTTTACAAGTCCGCGTTTGAAGTATGATGTACTGCAGAGGCATTTGATGTTTAAAGTGCCCATTATAAAAAAGTTTTGAAATAAGGCATCCAGCAACCATTTAAAAATGCAACTAATAGAAGAAATGACAAACGAGAGCTGTGGTGGCGGCAATACAACACAGGTGGATCACAGATAGAAAGCTCTTTTTGGCTACAACAGACATGCAGTAAGTTATTGAACCCAACTGCAATACTGCTGGCAAAGATCGCATACCTGTCTGAAACTCTGCAGGTTCTTCGTGGCTTCCTTTCGCTGAAGCATTTCATATTGGATTCTGAAATATTGGAAAGCTTTTACGTCAGGGAAATAGGAGCATTTTTAAAACTTGCTGGTGCCTTCATTTGAAAAGGAAAGATCAGAAGAATTCATGAGCAAATCGCAACCTGGGTTACTCCGGAGTTTGAGTCGCTTACTTTCGAAATGAATGGAACTAT